CTGCCTGTCGTTGTGCTGGAAACAACAGCGATCGCTCACAGACAGCAGTTAACGCCAGGGCACTGGATCTTCTGGGCTGAGGTGGCACCTTTGGTGTCCTCCGGGAGCTGGCCAAAGCGCAGTACATAGCAGGGGGTCCCTCGAGGGAGCTCCGGCAGCCGGAGGTGCGTACGTGAGGTTCTGCTCTTTACCCTGTCAAGGCACCTACGTTCCCCCTTTGCTGCCTGATGGGTTTGTGCGTGCACGGCAGGCTTGTTGCGGGAGGCATGCCTCTGGAGCGTGCTGTGCTGTTTCACAGCCCAGCCCTGTACACTGGATGTGTTCGTTTAAGGAGTCCGTTGCCCAGGGAGCGTGCCGGGGGCTGTGCGCACAGCCCTTGGGGGGGCTGCGCTCCAGCTGGACGTGGAAACTGCATCTCTGCTGAGCCGGAGCTTTTCTGCTTCCCATAGGGAAGGCAGGGCAGAAGGTCCCACTGAAGGAGTTGGCTGCTGGGCTGGGACCCCTGTGCAGGCTCCTCACAGCCGGCCCTGCTCACCCTTTGTGCAGGGCAGCTCCGGGGATGCAGCCCAAGGCCTTTTTGGGAGGCAGGTACCGAGGGCTGTGCTGTAGCACCAGCCTTCAGAAAAGGGAGCGAGTGGTTGCAAGATGGAACCGTGGGTTTTGCTCCGTGTACCACTTGGGTTTGCCCACCTGTGTTGCTGGCACTGGGATGGTCCTGCTCCCCCACGCAGGGTGGAAGGAGATGCTGACGGTGACACAAGAAGCCAGCATCCTACCCAGCTCAGCCCCAGGAGGCCTGGCTGCACAGCGAGGCCCTGTCCCTCGGAGGGAGGGCATAAGGCTCGGCTGCAGCCCGGTTGGTTGAAGGGTGGTTTGGTGACGAGGATTTGGGCTTTCTGCAGAGCAGAGCTGCAGCTCGGGCAGGAGCAGGCAGAGCTGTGACCCCGGTGTGTGCCCCTCTCCCCCCTCACAGCACAGTCCTCCCTAATGGCATCGCCGCAGACGGAGGAGTTCTTCGATCTCATCGCCAGCTCCCAGAGCAGACGCCTGGATGACCAGCGTGCCAATGTGGGCAACCTGCCGGGCCTGCGGATAACACACAACAACCTGGGGCATCTGCGTGTGGAAGGGGACGCCCAGGAGCCCGGAGATGAGTTCTTCAACATGCTCATGAAGTGTCAGGTAGTGGCACGGGACTGGGTGGGCTGCCAAGCTGGAGGGGGAGACGACAACAGTTTCTCCCACACAGGCAAACGTCATCGCCTGATCCCACCTGCCCTGTTGGGAGGGGCTGTGGCCAGCAGCTGCCCACCCACAGCCCTGGCACCCAGGCAGGTGCTTGTCTTTGCCTCCAGGTCCTTCTTTTTACCCTGTACCAAGGGCTGCGCTTTGTCATCCCTCTACAAGCGAGAGGGTGGCTGGAAGACCCCCCCTTCGACGCAGTGCCTACAGCCCGGGGCTGGGTCACCGCTCCTTCCTTACACTGGAGCCCACAGCGGGGTGCAGCACGGCTGGTCCCACTGCCCTGTGCCCCGGATGGGGAGCGTGTGTGCCGGACACCTCTTGGGCACCGCTCCCAGCCCTTTACTTCCCTGACAGGACTGTCTTGTCAGCACTCAGTCCTGACGCCTGTTCTCCTCCCTGTGCAGTCCTCCAGGATAGACGACCAGCGCTGTGCACCACCAGACTCCATCCCCCGTGGCCCCACCATGCCGGACGAAGACTTTTTCAGCCTCATCCAGCGCGTCCAGGCCAAACGCATGGACGAGCAGCGGGTAGATTTGGCCTCAGCCCAGGAGGAGGCAGAAGAGGAGCAGCAGAGGCCTGGTTCCAGCTAAGAACTGGGGTTTGGTTTGGGGGGGTTGTTTTGGTTTCATTTTGTTTTTTAAAAAGAAAAAAAGAAAGTGTGTAGGTGGTTTCAAACCCGAGCGCTCCTGTGCTACCACAGACTTTTCCCAGGAGCCGCCCCAGGGATGCAGGGAGCTGCACCTCCGTCACGTCACACCTGGCTGCTCTGCAGAGGCAACGTTAGAGGAAGGCCCACCAGACGGGGGACGGTTTTTAAACAAGGGGTTTTTCTAGGACACACGGCCACTGTAACACGGGGCACAGCGGGAGGGAAGAAGACTTTGGCAGCCCCTTTGCTTATCACCTAAAAATCCAGGAACTTGTGCGGTCGGACAAACGAGGAGCCCAGAGTGGGTAGTTAACTCCAGCATTGATGTCTTTTATTTCCCCGATGCTTTTAATTTAATGGGGGAAGGGAAGAGCACCTTTTCTATTTTGAAGTCCTCCTGTCTTGCCTGCATCACGAGGTGACACAAATTGCTCTGGATCCTTCCCTGGAAAGTCTCGCTCAGCTTTGTTCTTTCTACAGGAGGAAACGAGCCCAAGTCAGAGGCTACACCTGTCCTTTTAAACCTCACCCCCGCCCCAGCTGCAGTCATGGTCCCACACACCTTAAAGTTCATTTTAGGTTTGCTGAGGACCCTGCAGTGAGCCCTGTGACACCCCCTCTGCTTCCCCAGCCGCCGTTCTGTGCAGTAGGAGCGAAGCCTTCCTCGCCCTGAGCTTTAGTGGGATCTGGTTACCTCTGGAGAACAGCCGTGCAGCAAAACCCAGCTTCAGCCTGGGGCAAAGCCTGGAAGGTAACTGCCAGCTCCGCAGCCCGAGCTGCAGGCCCGAGACAGGGAGCTGTGCCTGGGGAGGGAGGAAGGAGGTCTCTGCTCATCTGTTCGGCGCAAGGCAAACGTGGGCAACTCATCGCGTCTGGTGCCGCTGAGCCCGAAGTCTCATGTCCTGTCTGCAGGTGAGTGTGCCCGAGGTGGAAGCCTGCGTTCGGCAATGACCCGCTTCGAAAGCCAGCAAAGTTTTCTGGCCACGGCTTGTCAGGAGAGCAAGCAGAACCATCCACTCCTCCCTTTAGTGTCCAACACCAGTAGGGATAATAGCCCTTCTCTCCCCTTGTTTCTCCCCAAACCAGTGCTCAGCTTCTCCCAGTCCCTGCAGGCCCCGGCAGAGCTGCACTCGGCAAGGCCCCCCGGTTTTGCCCAATCTGTCCCCAGTAAATGGAGACTGGGGTGTTGGCTGGGAACTCAGTTCCACCCCACGCACAAGCGCACGACTCCACATTTACTTTCATTCCTTCCCCTTTTGGAACAGTTGGAAAAGCAAGCCGAGAGGAGGGGAGCAGAGATCTAACTTCAGGAGGTGGAGTATTTTTTCTTTGCTTGACCAGATAGGCTGTCTCGGACTTCAGAAACTCCAGTAACGAGTTCTGCCAAAGCAGATTATGTTCCTATAGAGAACAAATCAGCACTTTCTATTTGAAATGCATTTAATGGAAACATTTCCAACCAGCAGTAAGATTTTTAGACCAGTGATGCTGCTCATCGGGCATTTAACCTGCCTGCACTCACCACGTGGAGGGGTAGCTGCATTTTGCCTGCTACCAGGGAGCGCTCACCTGCTACACTGCTGCATGGATTGCTTGGCCCAGGCTCGGCCTCCTTCCTGGGGCTGGTCAGAGCCCTGGAGAAGGGACAGGAGGACCTGCCCAGCCACCTCCGTACGGCCCTAGCCTGCGTTTGTGAAGAGGAGGAAGACGTTGAAGCTGAAGATGACTTGACCAGCTGCAGGCTCAGGCCTGTGCAGCTCTCAGCCAGGTGGTGAACTGGAATCTGACCGTTAAGCTTTCAGAGGTGTTATTTGCCATATACTTGAATGTATGAGCTTATTTATTTTTTACATGTGCATTTGCTAATGTCATTTTAATGGGGAATTTCCAACCCACAGGTACTTTTTTTTCTAAAAAATAATCTGCCAAATGAATTAATATATTAGAAATGAATACAGCTCAAGGGGAAGGGGGTGGTTGTGCTTAATAAATATTTGTGTCTAAGCTTCAGTGACAATTCATTTCCATTATTTCTTGGCCAGCCTGCTTGCTTTGCTGACAGCAGAGCGAACGCTGGCCCTTTGGAATGAGGTTGGGGGTGGGTGGTGGTCTCTTGTGGCAGACATCACTAAGTGCTAAGGGAAGGGTGTAGGTACCGACCAACACGTCCCCTTACGTTAGGTCTGTGTGTTTGTTAGGCAGCAGCCACCATCCCCACCTCTGCCTGCCTTAAATGCACAAAGCCCTGAGCGTTCCCTGCCCAGAGCAACGGCCCAAGCCCCGAAGTTACCAGGACGACTGGGCAGACACAGCAGCCCTGCAGTGGCCCAGACGGGCTTTTTGCAGTCACCTTGAGCCCTGCGCCAGCAGCACCGAGCCTTTCCTTTCAGGCCCTGCCTGGGGGCTCCGGCTCAGCCCTGTCTTGGTGCCGTCTGGGTGCCTGGCCCAAAAGCTGTGTCTTGTTTCCCGGGCAGCAGCTACCAGAGGAAAAGGGCAGTGAGTGCTGTGCAAAGCCCTGGCATCAGCCCTTAGTGAAGATACTCACAAAGCAGCAGGCAACAGCACTAGCTCATTCCAACGCAGCAGGCGTGAGCAGGCCGTTAGACTTCGCTCGAAAGTGGGCCTGAGAGCAGCAGATTTTGGATCCTGAGCCCTGTGAGGATAAAGCCAAGTCACAGCTGGTCTTCCTACGCCTGGCTAACTTGCACTGGCCACTGCCAGTCCGGATCAAAGATTAATGAAGAGCCACCAGCTCATTCTCATCAGGCATTCTCAAGCCTCTTGGTGCCTGGACACAAGAAGCTCTGTGCTAGAAGTCCCTGTGTGTGACCTGGGGACAGAACCATGCCCCCAGATATGCAAAGGAACAGGTGAAATCCCTGTGAGTGAGTGATGGGGTCTCACCTGCTGTCTCTGTCCTTCACAGCTGGGGAAGGGAGCACATCCTCTCCAGTAAATATTGTCTCCTTCAGAGCTCCTGTGAGGAGGCGGCAATGGCTACAACTGTCTCTCCAGTGCAGCTCAGCCTCTAACCCTGCAGTAGCAGAGACGGCAGCGTGCCACTGCCCAACACCAGCATCCCCCTCCCACGCTGCAGGCACCCAGGCCTGCAGAGCTCGGTCCCACGCAGGGCAGAGCTCTCCGATGCTGACATGCGCCGGACAGACACAGGACTGCCAGGGCCTGTGCAGTGCTAACGCGGGCCAAGTCGCTGTTCGGCTTTGGATTGCGAAGCACTGCAGCTGTAGAGTGCAGGTTGCTGTCCCCGGTGCAGGTCTGGAGGTGAAGAGAAACTAAAAAAAAAAAATCCGCAGCAGAAACACAAGCTACTGATCTCTCCTACTCAGCTGTACACATGCTCCAAGAGGCACCTGTGAGACGGGGCTGAAGTCAGGCCTGTGGGGATTTTTGTTTTGCTCATCTGCCAAGTTACATCAGGGCTGAGTCTCTGTGCGTGCTTACCTCACCGCTCCCCACAGTGTCATGGTGTTACTGCTCCAGCCATCGTTGCTCTTCATTTGGCTGGAAAGGCTTTCAGTCTCCAGGAAGGGCTACGCCCGCCCCGAGCACCCAGGCACTGTAGATTTAGCCAGGAGTTGGGACAGCTTTCGGCAGCTCTCCCTAGCAACCTCCTGGGATGCTGCTCGGCCAGGACGCAGCCATGGGCTAAGTTAACTCCTGCACAGCTTTGCAGTAAGGCAGGGCCATCCCTGCACTGAACAGCCCAGCCCAGGGACACAGCACAGACCCATGCACATGGGGCTTGGAGCGCCGGCCTCGCTCACCCCGCTGTGTCTCTCTGCCTACACTGCAGCAGGACCCAGAACCCACCTATGTCAGACCCTGTGGAAGCAGCACAAATAAGCAGGGATTCACTTAGCCCCCAGTGCCCCTCCTCGCTGCCTGCACTGATGCTCCAGGAAAAGAAACACATCTGCCCGATGGCCACTTCAGTGAGGCAAGCAAATCCCCCGGAGAGGCTCCCAAGTGCCTCCCTGCTACAGCTGAGCCCTCCACAGCACACCCAAGCGTGGCAGGGTTCACAACTGCCGTCTCTGTGTGAGGCAGGAGGAGGCACAGCCCCGCACACAACACATTCATGCACACTGGTAGCAAAAAGCAGCAGGGGGTTATGTCAGGTAGCCCCAGCAAAGGAGCCTCTGCAACCCAGCCTCCCTCTTGTCTGGGCCTTCCCTCAGCAAGTCCTGTCACCGCTCGCTTCCCAGCCCCGCCAGGGCCCCCATCTCACCCACCCTGACCGAACACCACTGCCTAGCATCGGCCACAGAACACCAGTAACCCCTGCAGTCAACACACATAACCCATCAGAGTCCCACTCTGGTGGGATTAACTCTGGAATTTGGCTGCACTACAAAAGGAGGATTTGCTCAAAGAGGTGGAAAACAAGAGGCAAAGCATTTGCCATTTTGTGGAAAAGCCCTTGTGGGACAGGATTCAGGAACAGGAAAGCCTTCAAGGAATGTGCCAATGGCTTTATGTTTGCTGCCCATCCTGTGAATGCTACTTTGCCCTCCCCTTGAAATCGCCACCTCTCCTCTGTGCTGCAAAGACGTACCCTGGTCGGCTGCACCTTCAGCCGCCCTCTGCTCCGCTGCACCAGGCTGTCACATCACTTTTTTCCCATCTTGACACACCTCCCGTTCAGGAGAAAGGCTGCTTTTCTTCTTCCCGCTCCCTTGTCTTTGGCTAAAGCAAGGTCTGCTGGGCTCCTCCTACACAAAGCGTGCTCACCTGTGTCCTCTGTCAAGAACAGACACACTTCCCCGTGACACAACATTTTTCAGAAAAACCCACTTCAAAAAGGAGGACAAAATTCCTTGTTTACCTGCACTCTATTAGCAGCAAATCTTTCTGTATTATATGCAAATTCCCTCACATAACTGCAACCCTCTCCCCTTCCAGACAAAGCCCCAGAACATTTTGTCATGAGAAGCACCAATGTCCTGCACTGTTGCAGGCTGCAGCCTCAGCGCTTGGGGCTACGGGGGGGCTGCACACCCAAATACGCCTTCCCTCCGTCCTCCGCTCTGGGTGCGGCAGGAGCAGGCCAGCCGGCTACACCAGCACTGGCTGCGAGCCCCGAGCGCAGGGACCAGCGCCCTGTCCTGCCTCCAGAGCACCCACTGCCAGGGGACGCTGGGCCAAGGAAACGCTAAAATCTACTAACAGCCAACACGGACAGCCCGTGCTACAGTTTTTACTGTAACGCAGCAAAAATTAGCACCACCTTTCTGTAGCTGGGGCACAGTAACAGGTAAGGAAAACAGTATAAAAGCATCAGGTTGTAAATGAACTGTTTCCAAGGCAACGCGGATCCTGCAACAGCTGCTCTGTTCCACCCCATCAAAGGCATTAGCACAATGGGAGCAGAACGCTGATTTTCAGGTAAAAGGTAATAAAATAACCACTCTTCCAGCAGAGTGCTAATACGTGCCAGCAACACACAACAGGGTCAGCACACAGCAATGTTGCAGGATGCAAGACTCTGTTTCTTAATTAATACGTGGATCACTCCAGCATCTAGTTGTTTCAGAGAGAGCTGTATTTCAGCAGGGTCTGAACACTTCC